CCGCTCGCTGTGCTTGAGCTCCATGAAGCCCGCCATGAAGGGGCTGCAGGCGAAGCGGTAGGCCCTGTGCAGCCTCCAGACCCTGGCGCCCAGCACATCCCGTAGGAACTTGAGCCGCTTGCCGTCCACGCCCTCCTCTACGTGCGTGACGAGCTTCTCGCAGGGCGACGGAGAGGCCGAGGCGCTCCGCCATGTCCGCGGTGCGCGGCCCGTACAGGCCCTTCCCGACCTTCATGCGCGCGGGGGGAGCCCAGTCCAAGTGGTCATGCAGCTCCGGGGGGAAGTCGTAGTCCACGAGGAGCAGGTAGCTCACCTCCTCGGAGTCGGACTCCCAGTTCAGCCCCGAGAGGCACGTCTTCAGCCTAGCGGCGTGTTCTTCCAGCAGGGCGACGGTCACGCAGGGGCCGTTGGGCATGGGCAGCGTCATTGCGGCCGGGTACATGGCGTTGAAGTCCAAGTACGAGATCCAGCTGACACGTAGTGGATGGGGTCGAGCCCCGACTGCGCCCGGAAGGAGTCCCGGTAGCTCTCCATCACGTCCGCCAGGGCCAGGACGTCGGTGTGGAGGTAGCAGTCGTGGAACTCGCGGAAGGGGGAAGGTCTCCCACCCCATCGGTGTTGACGGCCAGCCGGTGGTCCTCTGCGCTCACCGCTTTTCCTGCCAGCACGCTGTCGTAGCAGTGCTGCTCCCACACCGCAGGCATCTCCCATGCCTCGGCGCCGCAGAAGTGCTCGAAGGGCATGGGCAGCTTGCGCAGGATGCAGTCCCACGCCTGCTCCGGGGCGGAGAGTCGGTCGGCGTGCGCAGCTGCAGCTCGGGGTGAAGCGAGGCCATCAGCGGGAAGAGCTCCGGCAGCTGCTTGTGGGTGCAGGCCCTGAGGTCGTCGATCATGCTGGCCAGGCTTGTGGGGAAGACGTTCATGCTGTCCGCGGGCCCCAGCTCATCTGCAGGCACTTCTCGCCCGACTTGCAGGACTCGGAGGCAGAGGTGGCTGTAGTCGCCCTGCTTGATCGCGGCCTGCAGGGCGCACCAGCCGCTGAGGGGTTTTGGCGCGGCCTTGGCCCTGCCCTTGGGTGCGGCCTTTGGCGCAGCCTTGGCCATGGGCATGGGCCTCTCGCCGCTTCCTTCTTGATCACTCTCGGTGCCCTCATTGTCGCTGTCCTCGCCGAGCTCTTCACGCGGCGCCCTGCTGACAGGAGAGCCCATCGTGGCGATGTAGCGCAGCAGGAAGCGGAAGTCGTAGCCGCCCGTTGTGAAAGACCACTGGGATGGTCTTGGGCGTCTGGGCCGCGATGTTGCAGGAGTGGCACAGCGCCCCGAGATACTGCCCGGTGTTCTCGGGCCCGGGCAGCGGCACTTTCCGAGCGCGCTCGGCTATCTCTCGATAGCACTGGGTAGCGCGGCGCCGCTGCCAGGAGGCCTTCGTGGCGAAGCGGGCCATGCACCTCGGGCACTTGTACTCCGCGCAGCCGCCGGTGTTGGCGGGCGCCGGACGACGCCCGTGCCGCTCGGGGCGCGCTGCTGGAGGACGTGGTAATACTCCAGTCCGTCCGTCCACAGGGTTTGTTGCGGAGCTCGAAGGCCTCGATGTCGAAGCCCACGGGGCGGTCCGTCGGCAGGCCGGAGAAGTCCACCCCCGCGGCTGCCAGCCCGCGGGGCGCGGTCCTCGGCGGCCGGCCAGCTCGGGGTAGAAGAAGGAGCCTGAGCAGCTCACGGTCCTCTTCCGCTCGGTCTTGTTGAGCCCTTCGACCGCGAGGCAGTGGGCGAGGACGCGCCACATGAAGCAGCGGTGGTCCTCGTTCTGAGGGTTCCAGATGGCCTTCTTCTTGGCCAGGGTCTCGGGCAGCTCCTTCCAGCAGCCTCCCGCCTCGTTGGGCGGCGGGGGCGCGGGCATGTCGGCCAGCTGCTGCGAGGGCGCGGTCAGCAAATACGCTGCCGTGACGCCCACGACGGTCCAGTCGGACTCGGGGAAGCGGGAGCGCTCGAGCGCTCCTGATGGCCGCCATCATGGTTCCGGCGCGGGCCGACGGAGACGCGGGCCTCACGATCCACGGCGCCAGCCTGAGGAAGTAGAGCGTGAGCTCCACCCTGTCCTCGTCCTCATCGTTCGCAGCCGGGCGCGTCAACAGGATCTGGAAGCTGACCTTGGCGAGGAAGGGCAGCCGAATTGCCAGCAGGTCTTGGAGCCGGTCCACCAGCAGCCGCATGGCGTCGATGGTGAAGACCTGCTGCCCAGGAAGAGGTCCAAGCGGCCCTGCGCGGGCGCAGTTCTGTCACGGCGGCCTCGGCGCTAGGAGCGCGCGGCTCCTCCAGAGGCACCGCCCGGACGGCGCTGAGCCCCAGGCGGCCCCAGATGCGATCGGACAGCTCGGAGGTCATGGTGCGAATTGGTTTGAGCTAAATAAATTGCTTTCTATAGAAAAATAATAAAATATTCAGTCGGTCGGACGAGCGCTTCTTTTTTCTGTGTCCTGGCTTCTGTTCTGTCCCGGATTCTACCGCGTCACAGCGAGTCGGTGGCGCTGCCCTGCAGGTTCAGCGCAGCGAGGAGCTCTCTGGAGGCCTCGTCCAGCTCCTTGCGCGCCTTCTCAAGCCGCTCCAAGGCGGCGAGGGTTGCGCTCTTGGCAGCCAGCGAGACCGGCAGCCGCCCAGCGATCTTCTTGCTGACGAGATGCTCCTCCACCTCGAAGAGCTCCCTCTCGATCTGGGCCAGCGTTGCGACATCACGCGTGCGAATGCGGCGCTGCCTCAGGGCCTCGCGCTTCTCGCGGAGCGCCGCGGGCCCGCTGGACTGCGAGAGCCTGGACTGCGCCTTCACAGCCACGAGCGGCGGAGTGTCGACGGGCAGCGTGGTCTGCGGCGACGTGACGAGCTCGGGCACGGTCTCCGCGCCGCAGCTCTTCGCGTCCAACACGCTCATCGTGACCAACACCTCCGACTTCTCGGACGATCTCTTCTTGACGAAGAACTGGGCGGGCTGGAGCAAGCTGCAGATCTCCAACAACAGCGCGGCCTCCAACAGCGGCCCGGAGCTGCGGTTGCTGGGCAACCAGAGCGCGCGGGTCTTCCTGGAGCGAGACGGCGGGGCGCACCAGTGCGAGCTCATCATGATCAACGACGAGGCGCTGGTGCAGACGAAGAGCCTCTCGACGCAGCTGTCCTTGACCACGAACCAGAGGAACCCCGGCTGCCTGGTGATCGCAGGCAACACGGGCAACGTGGTCTGCAACACGAGCTTCACGAATTTGTCGGACAGCAGGGTGAAGACGGAGATGGCCGAGGCCGACGTGGCAGAGCTGCTGCAGCTGTTCGACTCCGTGGAGGCCATGCAGTACAAGCACCCGGACATGAACGAGGACCTGAGGCTGGGCTTCGCCTCGGACGACTTCGCAGGAACGAAGTGGAAGAACCTGACGGGCACTGCCAGGTGGAGCAACGGCACGGAGATGATCACGCTTGACTACTCGCACCTCACCAGCGTGCTCTGGGGGGTGTGCAAGGGCTTCCAGGCCCGGCTGGACGAGTTGGAAGCCTGGCAGACCTGGCCGACGACTTCAACGTGCGGGACCCGCGGAAGCTGTACCGACTTCCGAGGCAGCGCGACCTTGACGTGACGCAGGCCATGGCCTTCGAGGCGCTGAAGGCCGACGTGGGCCGGCAGGTGCAGGCGCCCCGGCCGCGTGCGCTGGGCAAGTCGGCCGCCGAGGGGCCGAACGACCGGCTGCAGGCCGACCTCATCGACTTCAGCCAGCACACACGGGGGAAGACGAAGTATGGCCTGGTGGTGATGGACGTCTTCACCCGGGAGGCTGCCGTGGAACCTCTGCAGAACACGAACGCCGAGACGGTCGGCCGGGCCACCAAGCGTGCCACGCAGGAGCTGACGGGGGACGACAAGAACTTCGTGGTCACGACCGACCTGGGCAACGAGTTCGCCACGCTGGACCGGGAGCTGCCCGCGGAAGCCGTGCACCGAACGAAGCGCCCGGAGGACCGCAACGCCACGGCCGTGGTGGACCGGGGAATCCAGACGCTGAAGAAGGACCTGGCCACGCGCGTGGCCCGCAAGGGCGGCCAGTGGAGCGACCACTTTGAGCAGACCGCTTCGGCCTACAATGCGCGGCCCCACGAGACGGCGCATGGCGCCCCGGAAGACGTGGAGAAGCAGCCGGCCACAGAGTTCAGGGTCCTCCAAGACAACGCCGACAGGTTCCAGCACAACAAGGACTTGACGAACCGCCGCATCAAGGCAGTGGAGGACGCGGGCGCTTCCCGAGCACCGACGAACGCGGCGAGGAGCTTCAACCCTCAGTACGGCGACGTGCAGCAGCTGCGGGCCGTGGACTCCATGACCGTCCGGAGCACCGAGGGCCGGGAGACCCTGCTGAAGCTGGCGCTGCCGGCGCCCCAGGGCAGCGGCAACGCGGCGGGCCGACTGACGAGGCGGGGCAGGCCGGCAGCTGTCAGGCAGCTGGACGACTTCCTGGCGCCTCCAAGGCCCAGGACCCTCGACTGATTACGGCTACTTTGGACCAAACTGGAAACTTTGCATAAAGCGCTGGAAACTTGTAGTACTTTGAGTCGTGTTTTTGGGGAACCCTAGCATGATTTTCCTGAGAGCACCCCAAGTCTCTCGGACGACATCATTATCTAAATCCCCATGCGTCCGTGTCCTCGACCTATCGACCTGCCCGAAAGACAGCAAGGGTTGGACAGTGTTTTCCTTGCGCAAGCACGCCATCAGTTCACGTGACTTGCCGGGTCTCTGCAAATGGCTGACACTGTGCGTCACCCAAAAGCCTAAGAGCTACTTGTCGATGCCGATCGGAGCTTCACACCCACCATGCGCTCAATTTGCTTGAGGGTGGAGATGTACCGCGGGCCATAGGATTGTCCTTTGATCCCCAACTTCGAGATCACGCTCTTTGCCGCGCCCAAGGTGTCCAGGCTGAGGTAGGTCTTCAGCGCCATCGTCAGCTCCGTGTGGAGGCTTGCTTCCTTAGGGCACCAGCTCACACATCTCTGTCATGAAGGCCTCGAGTTTGGCCTCCTCGTCCTTGTCTGCACATGGGACCAGGTCCATGGCGCTCATCTTCATCTCCGGTGGCTGCGGCTTGATCTCGGTGCCTGGGTTGTACTCCATCTCCAACGAGTCCACGAGATTTGCCGCAAGGAAGAAGATGTACTTGTTGAACTCTCCTCGGTTTATCCGGGTCTTGAGGCCATCCACGGCTCGCTCCTCGGTGGCCATGGACGGCTTCAAGGTGAAGCTGACCGTTATCTGGCAGACTCGAAGCCGCCGCAGCATCCCATCCGGTCGAGTCACACGGGGAGGGTGATTGCTTGTTGCCACCAGCAAAGCCGTAGGCATGAAGTCCCGGGGACCCTTGTTGAGCTTCCTGCTGCAGACTGGCGCACCTTCCATGTCACACAAGGGCTTGATGAAGTCATCCGCCAACGAGTAGTGCTCGGGGACTTCACTGGCCCAGGCCAGCCGCTTGCCTAGAGTCCTTGCATGGTAAGGCGCGGGTCCGTCCTTCGCGGTCAGGTAGCGAGTCTGTTGCACCACATAGTTTCCCGGAAGCTGCACCCCGTAGTTGTCCTTGCCGTGACCGAGGAAGGCGTGCAACATCTTCACCTTGGTGTCCTTCCCGGAATCCTGGCTTCCCCAGATGTAGTACATCTCGCAGAACCGCGGCGTCGCGGAGATGGCCCTGGTCATGAGACGCAGCTCGTAAAGGACGGAGTCCCAATCCCCGTACACCTTCATGTGGCGGAGGATCTCGCACCCGTCCTGCTCCAATTCCTCGAAGCACTCGATGACCTGTTTGCCATTCTCGCTGGCCTCGAGCAGACACACCCCCGTCTCCACATGCTCCTTCAAGAAAGCCAGGATGCGCTTGAAGAGCTTGGTCGCCTTGCTCGGCTGCCACATCTCTGAGGTCGCCTTTGCGTGGAAGCCCATGCGGTCGGCGGGGATCGGTGATCGGAGGACACGCTCCTTGAAATCGTAGAGCATGCCGTCGCAAAAGAGGATTTTGTGCCGTGTCTCGTCGCCGTCGAGGTCCGCCATCTGCGGGCCTGCCAGACGCCCCAGAACGGACGAGGACAGACCGGTGAAGAAGGCATTATCGTTGAGGGGCGGCGGCGGCACGTAGTTCTCATCGACTGTCTCGAAGACCGGGCAACACATCTTGCACATCAGGTCTTCCACGGTCTGGCCCAAGTCGTCCCGGTTTCGCACCAGCCAGAAGCCTCCCTTCTCGAAGCTTTCGTAGGTGGTCCTCTTCTCACCCCCCTCCACCGGAACGTGTACGACCGGGACCAGCTGCGCCGCCGCCAGCTTCGCAAAGTCCACGGTGTTTGCCCTCGCCCGTCCAAGTATGACGTGCTGCCTGCAGCGCTGGAGCAGTTGGTGGTACCCGGAGAACTCCATCTTCGACTTGAGTCTCCAATCCAAGTTGGGGTACTTCGCCGCCGCGTATGCCCACGGGTCCTCCAGCTCGTGCACGACCACCTCGACATCCACGGCTCGCTTCACGGCCTCGCTCGCGGAGCGGAGGGCCCCGATGCCGTCGTGCTGGTGGTCGTTGAAGGCCCTGCCCGCTGCCGCCGCCATCTTCTCCATCTGCAACCTCTCGTGGTGGGCGTACAGGGCAAAGGCCCCCGAGGCAGTGGAGCGGCCCTGCTCCATGTGCCAGTCCTTGGCCTTCTGTGGCAGCAGCTCAAAAACGGCCACGTGGTAGAGGCGCGCCGCCGTCTCGAAGCCGTAGAGCCAAGCAGCCACCTCGCCGCGCTATCCGAAGCCAAGGGTATGTCCTGCAGCACCTTGCTCGTCCAGTTTGCAAAACCACCCCCAAAGCCCAGGGCAATCATCAGCTCCTTCGCCGCTGCGCCGGCGGGCCTCGGGCAGCTTGTGGAAGAGCACGCGGCCGATCTGCGCGAGCTTCTCCTCACGGTGGTCCAGGTACTCCGCCATGATGGGCGGCAGCGGCTTCTGTCGGTTCAAGAGCTGGAAGAACGAGTTCTTGATGTCGCGGACCAACTTCTTGAAGGCAAATGCAGAGCGCCCCACAAGCGTGTCTGGGACCCCCATCTCGATCTCCTTGCGAATCTCCGGCGGCAGCTGCTTCATGAACTCTGCCCGAGCGGAATCCACGGCGCCCTCACTGCCTTTGCGCTTTTTGGCAGGCGCCTCCTGTGCGGGCCTTCAGCCCAGGCGCGGTGCGGCCTGGGCGCAGGAGCACGGGAATCCACCCAATGCCGTCCTGGTCCACATTCACAGAGCGCTTGAACAGGCTCATCAGCACATCAAAGAGACTGTGGTCGGGGCATCGCCGCACGGCGTCGAGCTGCAGAGCGTTGCTGATGGTGAACACGTCCGTCCGCTCCCAAACAAGGCGATGGTGTTTTAGGTTATCCTCGGGAGGCTCGGTAAACTGCTCCTTGAACTGCGTGTAGTGCCCCAGTTGGGCGGGCGTCGGAAGCTCTACCTCCTCCTCTACCTCCTCCACCTCCTCCTCCTCCACCTTGACCTCATCTGCTCCTCAGCCGGCTCCTCCGTCTGCTCCTCCGTCTCGGCTCCTCGGCCGGCTCATGGGTCGGCCGGCTCATGGGGCTCCGTCTCCGTCTGCTCCCGGCTTTCTCCTCGGCCGGCTCCTCGGCCGGCTCATGGGCCTCCGTCTCTGCCAGCTCATGGGCCTCCGTCTCCGTCTGCTCCTGGGCCTCAGCCGGCTTTTCGGCCGGCTCCTCCGTCTCCGTCTGCTCCTGGGCCTCAGCCGGCTTTTCGGCCGGCTCCTCCGTCTGCTCCTGAACCTCCGCAAGAGGCTTTGAGAGCCTCCTTTCAAAGATGCGTTGGAGCTCCCGCGCCGACTCAGCTTCCTCGGGTTTGGCATCATTGAGGTTGAGCCACTGGAGCCTCGCCAAGGCTTCCTGGCACACAGATCTCTCAAGGCGCTTGCGCCGACGGAGAAGGCCGTCACAGAAATTGATGACCTCTGCGGCGGTCTCCACCGGATCTCGGATCTTGCACAGCGCGCGGTGCAGAAGCCCCTCCAGCTCAGTCATGGGCCGCTGGCGAGTAGCGTCCGGATCACTGACGACCGCCAAGCTCTTGATGCTCTGCATCTCACCGAAGGCCTCTCCAGCGCGGGGGTCCGTGCACTTGTCCGGGTGCACCAAGTGCATCATCATCTTGAAGCAGGACGACGCAGAGCCGGGGAAGATCCTGAAGCCGCACCTCTCGCCAACTCGATGCGCTGGGCTCAGCACGAGCTGCACCGCCAGGGACCGCGCGGCATCCATGGTCATGGTAGGTGTCGAAAGCTAAGTTCCTTCTGAGAAAATGCTTCAAAAGATAAAGATGGCACGCCCCAGCAAGTACCCGAATGCTTGGCAATGACTGGCAACCAGGCCCCGGACATTCGGAAGCTACACCACAGCAGCCGAAGTCGAAGGCGTCTGAGCGGCAACTCCACCCGGTCCTGGAGATGCTTGTCAAATGGCCTAGTTCTGTGCCCCCCTGAGGCGGTTTTTTATTTATATAAAAATCTAAATGCTTCGATCCCTCGTGCTTCGATCCCTGACATCCCGTGCTTTCTGTGCCCCCCTGAGGCGGTTTTTTATTTATATAAAAATCTAAATGCTTCCATCCCTGGCATCCCGTGCTTTCTGTGCCCCCCTGAGGCGGTTTTTTTATATAAAAATCTAAATGCTTCCATCCCTGGCAGGTTGTCTCCCGTGCTTTCCGTGCCCCCTGAGGCGGTTTTTTATTTATATAAAAATCTAAATGCCTCCATCCCTGGCATCCCGTGCTTTCCGTGCCCCCCTGAGGCGGTTGTTTATTTATATAAAAATCTAAATGCTTCCATCCCTGGCAGGCTGTCTCCCATGCTTTCCGTGCCCCCCTGAGGCGCTTTTTTATTTATATAAAAATCTAAATGCTTCGATCCCTGGCATCCCGTGCTTTCTGTGCCCCTTGAGGCGGCTTCTTATTTATATAAAAGTCTAAATGCTTCGATCCCTGGCAGGTTGTCCCCGTGCTTTCTGCGCCCCCTCATCTGAAGATTTGCCACACGAATCCGCGCCACACCGAAAGGTCCCCTAGCAAGCAAAATCATGCAAAAAATCAACGTGACATCCGTGCAAAAACCCACGCAAAACGCATGCAAGAAAAACATGTCATGCCAAAATCGAGAAGGGGTCACAGGCTGGCAAGCTGGGTTTCCGTGGCTGGCGCATAGTGTTGATTGAAGTAGCCCTGCTCGGAGGGCAGGGATTGAGTTGATTGCACATGGATAAGCTCCAAAATCGACGGTGTTGTTGGCGCCAATGAAGCCGCCTTAGAAGAGACCCTGAAAGCTTCGGGGGCGTGAAAAACCCCTAAGTTGGGGCAGCATCGCCAACAACACCCCCAGCATCACCAGCAACGTTTGTTTCCAGTTATGAGGCGTGGACCAGAACCGAAACGTGGACCAGAAAGGGGGGGGGGTTCAGGGTCCGACCGTGTGGGGTGTGGACCAGAAAGTTCAGGGTCCACCCATAAGTTCCTATAAGGGCCCCCTCCGGCTCCCTCTCCGTCATCAATCCACGCAGACATCGAACGTTCTGGTGGCCATGCAAATCATGCAAAATCCTGCACAGATGCCCCAGAAAGTCGCGGCCCGGCCGACCGACAAAAAAATCTGGCCCCGTAAAAAAGAATGGCAAGTTGGATGAGACAACAACAACACATCGGCGAGGCGGCGGATATGGGCGCCAGGGGTCGCACGACGGCGGATGGCTCCGTCGTGTTGAACCTGCGCAGAGGGGCGGGCGCCTACGCGCTGCTCGCGCGCACGGACGGGCAGCTGACCCGAGCGGGGCACCACTACTGGCACCTGCGCCCCCACCAAGACTTCGACTACAACCAGCCCCTCATCCGCGAGGGGCCCAACGACTACATTCTCCTGCGCAACGGGCAGAAGAAGCTCGTTTGGAGGGCGACGGCGAGCACCGACTCACCAAGTTGGGGAAGGCCTTCTTCCGAGACAAGTACTACGAGTACCTGGTCCACGTACCGGTGGTCATCCGCGGCCGGCGGCGCAGCGGGCGGAACGCGGGCGCGGCCTGCGAGCCTGGCTACCGATCAACAAGCTCGGGGCGCTATGACTCGGAGGTCCGGCAGTTCTGCGTCTGGCGCGACGCTCCTATGCGGTTCCTGAGCTCGTAGGGCGACGTGGTGGAGGTGCAGCAGCAGGAGGTTTGGCCGTGCAGCAGGGCTTGTGCGCTGTGCCTGCAAGCTGGACCACGTTGTGCCGGTGCGGCAGCTCGACGCAGACAGCGTGCAGCGGCAGTCCTGTGGAGCCCGTGGAGCCGGGCGGCTGCCGGACTATGGAGGGGTGCCGCGACGCGCGCAGGCCGCGCTGCAGCTGCTGGCTGGTACCCAAAGTTTCCATTGCCGCGATGCTGGAGACCGTGTGCCGTTGGATCACATCCGCTGGGCATCTATGCACGCGGACTGGTGAACGCGATGATCGGGCTATGGCCAGCTGGACGGCCCTGGCGCCGACTTCACGCAAAGCTTCTGCTACGGAAGGGCAGCGTCTTCGTACACACGGAGCTAAGCAACCCGCTCCAGCGCTTCACGCACAGGAAGCACACGGTGCGGTGTCTCTTCAGCGCAGTCGTAGCTGAGAAAGACCTCGTGCGCCAAGCCCGCCAGCACTCCTGGTCCAACCCCTTGCACCAGCTCGCGGATTCGCATCACCGCAGCCTCACCCGCTGTACTGGGAGGGACTGCTGAGGGTCACTTTGGGGCTCTCTCCGGCCGCCATCAAGTCTCGCCACGCCTCCCGTACCTCGCACCAGAACAGCCCCGGCTCCAAGGCAGCGCGGGTCAAAACGCTTCCACTCGACTCTCGGCGGCAGCTTCTGCCGCGCCTCGCCGCGGTACAGCGTGCGCTTGGGGAGCGCAGGCAGGCGCAGGAGGGGCAGCGGCACCTGGACGACGTGAGCCGGCTGACGGAGGCCGTGCACCGCCAGGTACCCCAGCTGCGCTACGCGCGGCCGAGCGCCGGGGCGTGGAACGGGCGGCGGACGAAGTTGCGCAACAGTAAATGAAGACGCTTCGGGCGCACGGCTTCAATCAGCGCCCGCTTTTGAGCAGGTGGTGGGCTACCAAGCGGAATGAGCCGCTGCCCCGGATCAACCAGACCGCAAGGCCACCTCGTTTGTCACAAGCCACTTCTCCTGGACGGCGGAACCCGCTTTGTTAAGGATGACCTGGCAGGAGACCCCGAGGCCGGCGCCTTGGCCAGCAACGGGCAGGGGCCGCCCTCCATCACGGACCGTCTGCGCAGCACTGCAGAAACGGCGAGCCGGGCGGCAGCGGACCTTACCCTGGGCGTCTGCTTTCGCGGCCAGCCCGCGCCCAAACTAGGGATTTGCCCCCACAACTCCGGGACCTCAGGTGCCTTCGCCTTTTGGTGGGCGGCCAAACGCTGGGATCTTCCGAGGCGAGCGCATGCCGAGCTGGAGCTGAGAAAAAGAGAGTGCACGCAAGCGACACCATCATACACTTGCAACTGTTCCGAATGGCCCAACCCCGAAAAACGAAGGGGGGCAAACCAACCCAAAAAACAAAACAAGGCCAGAACAACCCCAAAAACTGAAGGGGGCCAAGCCAACCCCAAAAACTGAAAGGGGGGCAACCCAACCCCAAAAAACGAAGGGGGCCAAACCAACCCCAAAAAACGAAGGGGGGCAACCCAACCCCAAAAAATGAAGGGGGCCAAGCCAACCCCACAAACCAAAGAGGGGCAACCCCAAAAAATGAAGGGGGGCCAAGCCAACCCAAAAAACCGCATGGGGCCAACGCAACCCCAAAAATGTGAAGGGGGCCAAGCCAACCCCAAAAACCAAAGAGGGGTCAACGCATGTTCTGCGCAGGACACCTGATGTTGCCTCGGGAAGGGCTAATTAGCCGCTGGAGGAAGCTGACTCCGACCAATGAACGGACTATTGGAAACTCAACATGTTGCATTTTTGCACCATGAGCTCAGTGACGGCTTGAGCAAGCCACGCAGTGAGCAGCGCAGTGTACCACCGCCATTCCAACAGAGCGAGTGCTCAAACAGCAGCGGGTTAACAAGTTCGTGAAGCTCAACATATGTCATACATGCTACTACTGGAGACCCCAAGAACCAAAGGGGGGCCAACCAACCCCAAAAAACGAAGGGCCAAACCCAAAAAGTGAAGGGGGCCAAGCCAACCCCAAAAACTGAAGAGGGGCAGGGCAACCCAACCCCAAAAAACGAAGGGGGCCAACCCAACCCCAAAAACCGAACAAGCCGCCAACCCCAAACCAAAAGGGGGCACGCCAGCCC